GAATTTCTGAGGCTGTAAATCATAATGAAGAAGGAGTCCACACCTCTCTCTCCCTCTGAGTCACTGTTGGATTTGAACCTCCGGAGATGAGATGCACAGACTTCATGTTAGCATCACAACTCACTTTGGATTGCATTATTACAGACCCTATCTGCTTTTCTTATTGTTGCCATTTGTTTAAATTTAGGTGGAGTTTATAGAGCATTGAATTACTGGCTGTAAATGCCATTCCTCTATGATAAGATACGAAAGAGTCATGAGTAAAAATGAGTCTTATGGATATACATCAGTTAAGATCCTTGTGGATATGTACCATAAGAAAGAAATGTATGTTACCTCATCAGAGCTATTCAAAAGAAAGAAGTATATAAGATGTGATTGGTGGTTGTTGTCCAAAATCCATTTACATATACAGTTACACACACACACACACACACACACACATTGTTGTTGTTGTTGTTATGTGCCATTGAGTTACCTGTGACGCATAGTGACATACAACAGCTCTGAAGCCTGTCCTGTCCTGAGCCAGCCTCACTGACTCCAGCACATGTACCCCCATTGCCCTAGTTACTGCACAAATCCATCTCATCTGGGGTCTTCCTTCAGCCTTCTGAGCATGATATCCTTCTCCAAGGATTGGTCCCTCCTGGCTACATGCTCAAAGTATGTGAGACGAAGTTTCAAAATCTTGGACTCCGAGGAAAAACTTGGTTTCACCAGCTCCAAGACAGACTTATCTGTTTTCTTGACACTCCGTGGTATGTTCAAGACTCTTCTCCAGCACCACAACTCAAAGGCATTAATGGTGTTGAATTACTCAGAGAAATACAAATATGATGATGACTGAATACCATTGGATTGTTGCATAAAAATCATTGATGATTCAGTATCAATGTTTTGTGATGGGCCTAAAAGTCATATTGTGGCTGATTAAGGAGAAGGTAAGAAAGGACCACAGTAGATATAATAAGATCTTGCAAGAGATAGGGTGAAGGAAAGCAGAGAGATTATAATAAATTTTATCATTGTTATTTTTATGTTTATTGAGAGAAAGTTTTGACAAAGTGAAGAGGAAAAAAGGATTTAAGTTTTGACTTGAACTATTTGAGTACGGTCCCTATTTTTCATCCAATGAGATATTTGATCACAAATGTCTGTACAGCCATGAAACTCAGTTTCCATATATGACCGAAATGGATAATTTTACTTCTTAATTGAGTTAATTGTCTAGTGACAAGAATCTGTGCTGCAACCCCAAAGGCACTCGGTTTGAATCCACCAGCTGCTCCATGGAAGAAGGATGGGTAGTCTCCTCCCGGGTAATTAACTGTCTCTGAAGACCTGCTGAAGGGTCAGCTATGGGTCGGTTCTAACTCGATGGTCGCAACAACAGCAGTAGAGTTAATTAAAAGTATACATGTACAATATCTGGCAGGTATTATTGCAGGAACTCTAAAAATTTGAAACACAATATTAAAATGCCCTGAGACGTGCACATGCTGTGAGCCTCATAGAGTTAACAGTCAAGAATCAGTCTTGATTAGGTTTGGAGATGTTCCTTCTTTTCAACTTCCCAAATGATGATGATTGCTGATGGTTTGGGGTACACTTTTATCACCTGTCAGCCTCATAACAATAGAAATAGCCCTTTGGCAGATAAGAGTCATTCAGGAGTGAGGTTCCAGTCAGCTGGGAAAACAAATGTTCTTATTGAATGCTGCATATTACAAATTAAATTATACTGACCCTTGGGCCCTGGAGTCTTTTGTCTCAGACTCCTGCTTCTGTAACGCTGTTCCAGTTGGAGGAACAACTCTGAGTCAGTGAGCTCTAGACTACAGTCTGGTGCAAAGGCTAAGAAGTTTATGTGCTGTTTTGTTTCACTCTAGTGCAAGGGTTGTTAGGTCTTAGGAGGTTATGCTATGATTGAAAAGACTGCTCAGAAAATGTGATTAAAATTTCCTCTCTATTTTCTGGCACTAAGTTTCTCATAACAATGACTTCAAAACACAGTGGTTCTAAAGGAAATATTTAAAGTCCACCAAGGGTTCAATATTTTCTAAAATAATTTCCCCTGGTGGAAGATAGGGTTCCTCTGAAGGCCCTTCTACTCATGGAATGAATCATTAGCAGATCTTCCAGAAGTAGCAGCAATATTGATTTGCTTGTTTATTTACTCATTTATTCATTCATCAAATAATTATTTTTTCTATGGCTTCTTATTGTAATTTAGCATATTATTGTATTTAAAGTATTGTAGTTTAGCATATTATTGTAATTAAAGCATATTGATTTATCATCCAATAATTTCTACATATTCTGATTTGTGACATTATTTACAATCCTCACAAAGTAACAGCAGCTCCCTGTGTTACCTGTTTTGTTTATTCTTTGTACAAAAAATGAGCAGAAAGAGAATGGCAGTATCCTGTAGCCACTAATTCCACAAAGCCTAACTATAATCCCCGTCACACAGTACAAACCAATTCTTATAAATTTAGATATGAACTCCATACTCCTAACCCTACTTCTACTAATCTCAGTAACAATCTTACTGATCTGCTGGGTCAGAAATTCATTGCAATGACCACATAGATCTCACTGAACCTTATTTATTATTATAGACTTCATTAGGGGAGTTAACAGCTTACAATTCAGATTGTCAGCCGGATAAAATTCCTCAATCCAGATAGCTTCTCAAGTGCTATTTGACCCTTTGCTACTACTCTCAGGTATATTCAAGTCTGACTGGAACACAAATCTCTGGTCCCAAAGGATGCATTTGCTCTCTCTGCTTCTTCCTTACTGGTAATGAAATCCCCAACTTTGCTACAAAATCTGTTCGTTTTAACTTGGTGGGATAAGAAACCTTGGCCGACAGCATAATGATTATACACACACTATTTTAAGTTCCCTCTCACTCATGTGTTAAAGGTCAAAGTTGATGGCTAGGAAAGGCATTTTGAACAACAAACCGTTGGCATACCACATCCTTCTTTTCTGTTTCTTATTGCCTTCTGGGTTCTATCCCTAGCCCAAAGCTATACTTTGGATCTTGTCTGATTGGCTGTGCTAAGCTGTGTGTACCTCCTTGGGGTTAGGCAATGATGGTGAGACTTTGTCTCACAAACTTCAAGCTTATTACAGAAAGAGGCAGTCCTTGCAAGAAGACATCATTCTTGGAAACGTGGTGGTTAAGAAAAGGTGAAGACCAAATCAATTGGCTTAACGCTGAGACTGTTAATTTTGAGAATGACTCAGAATATGCTAGGTTTTGATCTATTGTAGATAAGAGCACAATAAGTTATGGTCCACTCAATGACACCTAACAACAAGAGCCTTGTTTGGCTGAAAGTTGAGCCATAGGAGAGGAACAAGTAATTCCTCGTTAACTATATGTTCTAAAACTTGGTATTAAATCCACAGACTATGAAAGTATGTAGGACAATGCCATGGTGCACATGCTATACAAGAGGTAGACTAGAAGTACTCTCACAGAAAACCATTGGTTCTACATAATATGGTGATCTGAAAAGATGTCAGAAAGGAGATGATGTTGACATTTGACTCGGTTATAAAAACTGCATGCACTTTCCACAAGTCAAAAAAAGGAAGAAGAATATTTGTAGCTGAAGAATTTGTACTTTAAGTGATTCAAAAGAAGCTCCCATCAGGACTTTTTACCAGTGGCTGTTTGTTAGGACTTTGAGTCCCACCTAGCGATGTTCTGTGGCGTTTATTACTACGCTGGCAACTACAATAACTACAACATAATTCCGTGGATAAGCAACAATTTTGTGGAGCATTATGTTCCTTTACTCTCCCCATCAGAGTTCCCACTAAGCATTATTAGCACATTAGTTTAGATTAAACTAAGGGAAAAACTGGAAAGGTCCCCTTCCTGTTTTGTTTTATCATTTCCCCTAGAAAGCCCAGTCTGAAGTCAACTTATTTATTCATGACTGCCCGTTTTCATCTACTTTCAGCACTCTGCATGCCCTTTAAATACACAGCCCAGTTCCTTTCTCATTATTTTTTTCTTTGTTAGATCAGAGTTTTTCTTTGACCTTTACATCTTTTCACATCCTTTTCTATGATTATTTTATCCATTCAGCAACTTTTCAATATCATTATTTCCAAGGAAATTATAATATGAAAAGCACAAAGCAAATCTTTACTCTTATTTTCTGTTACTCAGTTAGACAAAATATACCATCCTATGTATTTGTCTCATAGCCATTAATGTCCTTTTCTAAACTTTTTGGATGCAGTGTATAAAACAGGCCAAGTTCCATTTGCCATCTCTTCCTTTATAAACAGACTCTCTAAGCCTTCAATGTCTCCACTGAGGCAGAGGAGTCGGCACTTCTGCTAAAATAATTACGTTTGCAATTGAAATATGAGAGTAACATATTGGCAAAGAATACTGACTGTATCACGAGGCTGCCAAATGTCATGTTCTAGGGTTGTTGGTGATTCTACTTTTCCAACTATCTTGGAAATATGTGAGCATTGTCATATGTCTGCAGTAATGGCTAGGAAGTGCAAGAAAAATAAATGTCTATCATTTTCTTGATCTGATACTACAAAGCCAAACTTCAGTGGCACAGTATGAATATTTTTGAGCACTTGGCCTTGCTTAATATGACGTTACAGTATACCAGTACTAGTGTACTGAAGCCAAGCATGGCCCAACTGCTAACAAGTCAACAATTTGAACTTATCAGCCATTCCACAGAGATAGAAAGGGCAGCCTGTCTGTTCCACAATGATTTTCAACCATGAAAAACACTATAGAGCATTTCTCAATAGTTTTACAAAATCTCTAACAACCGGAATCCACTCCATATATATATATATATCATGATTGCCAATGTGAGAATCCTTCCAGTGTGGAAAGCTCTCAGAGATCTTCAAATATTTCATTCTATTGCCCTGTGCGGTGTGTATAAGCATTGGTGTCCAACAACTCTTATTTTTCTGGTTTTCCTCTGCAGACAGCGTGGAAGATGAACTGGAAATGGCCACCGTCCGGCATCGGCCTGAGGCTCTTGAGCTTCTCGAAGCCCAGAGCAAATTTACCAAGAAAGAGCTCCAGATTCTCTACAGAGGATTTAAGAACGTAAGAACTTTCATTTTTACAGTCCTTGCACAAAGTTATGATCGGGTATTATTGTCATGACAGGAGCCCAGAATGTAGGTAGCATAGTGGAGTAGACTTGGGGGCAAGAGATTGAATAAAAATGAAAAAATTGTTTTCTTTGACTTAAAAAAAAATAAAAGTGAATTGGGGGAGAGGGGTGGGCAGGGAGAAAAGTGCAACAATGAATGAATGGAAATCCAAATTCTCTGTAAACTTTCATTAAAATAAAAAAATTAAAAAGAGACAGCATTGAAAGTTGGGAGTAAAAAAGGGAAATTACATTGTCTGTGAGATCCATGATGCACTCTTCCTATTCATTCCATAACTGGATGTGAATATAGTGGACTTGCATTTGGGCCGTGATTGGCTTCAGTACACTTGCACTGGTATACTGTAATGTCATATTAACCAAGGCCAAGTGCTCAAAAATATTCATACAATACACTCCTTGGGCTTGGCTTTTTGTTTCCTTTTTTAGTATAATGCTGTGTTTCAAAGCATTTCACTTGCCTCTCCATATTTGAACTGTAAACTAGTGTTGGTGTTGTAAAGTCTTTTAATATGAAGTGGGCTCATCAAGGAAATATACTCTTGATATGAAAAAAAAATAAATTCCTATAGTTTTTGTAATCTCCAGAAAAGCCAAGCTGACAATGAGTTCACAATGGAATCCATGTGACCAGTTGAGCTTCTTCATGGAATTAGTGTTGTTGCCAGAGTGGGCTCTGGTCCATGGCACCCCCATAATAGATGGTAGAATAAAATATTACTCAGTTATGAGCCATCTACACTATCATTAGCAAGCTCAAGTCTGTTGTTGGAGTAACAGTGTTTGTAATATCTTCCAACCTACATAGCTCATCTTCCTGTACTTTATGCAATATTCCTTTGTGACCCGTGGAATTTTCACTGGTTTGTTTTAATAAGAGATGATCAGACCTTCCTATTCTTTCTAAGTCTGAAGGCTATCCTGAACCTTGCTCATACAAGTGACCTTAACAGTGGTAAGAATACCAGGGCATGGCTTCCAGCTTCCTAGCAACGCCAATGCTACTACAGTGTATAATAAACTGACACACAGGGGGTAGTCTACTGAGTTAGACCTCTCCTAAAGGAATCACAGTGGGTCAGTGGGTGTCTATCCAGAGGGTGAGAGTGAGAGAGAGTGAGTAAGTCCAGACAATGTATTAGGGACACACTCATATTATTTATAAAAATAATAAAACAAACAAAACCCCCTCAAATTCATTGCCATCAAGTTGGAATCAACTCACAGCTAATCGTCTAGACATTTTTCACCCAAGAAGGAAATTGCCTGACTCATGATATGTAGGAGGGATTGGAAACTCAGTATGAAAGGGCATCAATTGGTAGAGACATTTCCCCACGGTTCAGTTCTTGAGTCCATATATGAAACATGAGCTCCCGTTAGAACCTCATGACATTATTTTGCTTCCTCCTGAAATCCAGCCTCTAAGAACCACTATTTCCTTAACCTTCAGATTAGAAGGCTATTCAGAATAGAAGACGGTTTTGTTTCTAAACTTCTGTTCATTCAAGCCTCTTCACATCTGACCACTTTGAGGGTTATCACTGCCCAACTTAATGCAAACCAGACAGAAAATTCAGCAGCATTTTCGGTTTGCACAACAGATCTGCTCAAACTATTTATAACTTCATCTGACTTTCAAAGTACTTTTGTAAGTTTCTATGGTGTCACTCTGGGGACTAAGGTGCATCTGATGCAGACCATGGTCTTTGCAATCACTTGTTATGCATCAGAGAGCTGGACAATGACTAGGGAGGGTAGGAGGAGAATTGATGCCTTTGAGCTGTGGTGCTGGAGACGAGTATTGAGGGTACCATGGACTGCTAGGAAAACAAACAGATTCATCCTGGAAATGGTTAAACCAGGCAGCTCCTTGGAGGCAAGGATTCTGAGGCTTCATCTAACATACTTTGGACATGTTGTAAGGAGAGACACATCATGCTTGGGAGGGTGGAGGGACAGTGCAGGCGGGGAAGGCCCTCTATAAGATGGATTGATTCAATGACTGGAGTGATCGAGTTGGGTGTGTCAGAGACAGTGCAATTGACATAGAACAGAGCAGAGTGTAGGGCTGTTGTACACAGGGCTGTTATGAGTCACAAGCAACTCAACAGCACATAACAGCAATAACAACAACTATCAAACCTGTAGCACGCAATCGTCCACCAGCTCCTAGACTACACAGGGGTTTTGCTGTATCCTGTTCTGTTCCTTTACACCACTCTTTATCCTGGACTTTCTCAGTTCCTCTCCCACATCCAGAGAACTGATATCTATTTTTACTCTGAACCTTGCTCATCTCCTGAAACTCAGGCCTTGGTGGAGTTAGGGAGGAAGATGTAAGTATAGATATAAATGGAGTTTCCCACACACATGAAAAGGATTATTGGTGGCCTACTGGCAAGAAGTTGCACTGCAATCCTGAAGGCATGAGGTTCGAGGCCACCAGGTGCTCCATGGGAGAAGGATGGGCAATTTCCTCCCATGCTATTAACTGCCTCAGAAAACTGTCAGAGCATCAGCTACATGACAGTTCTGACCCTATGCTACATTAACAACAACAGTCTAATAAGATTGTACATGTAAATAAATACACCTAGAAAATACTTAAAATCTAGGGCTGTGAAAACTAGATTATAACATTGCCAGTTATGCCCATTCTACCAAAGAGCTGCTAGCTTCAGAGAAAACAATCGTTTAAACTAACAGAGTTCTGGGTGGAGGGGGTAATATTAGGCAGTTAATGGAATAATTGGAGGTTCCAGTACACTCAATGGCACCTAGAAAGAAAAATCTCATTTAAGGAAAAGAAGTCATTGAAATTATATGCAGCACAATCTGCTGGGACACTCAAGGAGTCACCATAGATCAGAACCAGATAGCAACTTTTATTTTTTTTTAACTAATATAGTCTTTACTGACTACTGGTATTGATCCCCCCCCCCCAACTAGCTGCAAAGATGGGGAATTAGAGGTGGAAAAGAAGAGATCTTAGCCAAAAGATAATGCAAAAGAAAAATCATGAACAGAACTGTCAATGGGTTCATCTGAACAATGAACAGTCACTTCCCTTGAGATTGACAGTCTCTGAAAAACCCACTGGAGAGGCAGCTGTGAGGCTGTGAGTCTGTTCCCACTCCCTGGCAATGAGATTTGGAGCTTCTATTCAGACACATCACATTTAAGCCGGGTTTGCTCCCTCCTCCTCCCTTTTTTCACATCAGATTGTGCATGGGGTAAAAAATGGTTCCCAAAGAAAGGAGAACTCACTCCAAGCTCCCAGCAGCTCTGTCTTTTCAGCGGCTGCTCTTGTTATTATTCCCCTGCCTTGACAGTAGGGTTTCTCTGTTTGAGGTCCGACTGCGTTTTATTCTCGATGTTGCAAATCGGTGCTGTGATTGCCGCCATCATTAACCTTGGCAGGCAGCGTCTCTGCATAGCTTGTGCAAGTGGCACTTCACAAGAAATTGCCCAGGCTCTGAAGTCGCTCTGTGTCACTTCCTTTTTTTCTTCTCTGCCTAATCGCCCTCTTGTCTTTCCATTCTTGTTTTAGCCCTGTCCTTCTTTCTTGACCTTTCTCCCCTTGATCTCTCTCATCCTTCTAGAATCTCTATTTCTCCACTCCTCTTCCATCTCCATCCTCTCCCTTCCTTGCCCCTTGGTCACATCCATTCCCCTCATCTCTCGTCCTGTTTCCAGCTTCCTTCATCTTTCTCTGTGTTGCCCTTCCTTTCTATGGCTTTCTCCTGTCCTCTTTTCTTTGCCCTGTTGGACACATTTCTCTTGGCTTTGGCTGTGCCCAAAACACTCTTTGAAATTTCCAACTTCAAAATTTGCTTGAAAATTTTTTAATCAGTGTCTCTAATAGATCAAACAAGCAGGCTCTCTTCATTTTTGTTTCCTCTATCCAAGTATACAAGTCGGACAGAGGTGTCCTGCCAGATAGCCAGGCAGAGGCGAAAGTAGGTCAGCACACCCTTGTCTTACAGAGGACAGCAATCTGTACCCGCTCAGCAAACTCACGGCTCTAGCTTTCCTGAACACCAATTATCTCAAAGCCCTCAAGATCAAAAAATCATTTCCCTGGAAACAGTGTAGACATTCATTTTTAATGAAAAATTTTAAAACACTTGGTAATGTGATTAAAAGGAGAAACCATAAGCATCTTAAACGCATTACATTTGTACAAAAATGTCTCACTATGGCCAGGAATCTGTGCAAGACAAGACACCAAGGATTCCTTCCATTTTTTTTTTTTTTTTAAACTACATAGCCCTGGTGGCTCTGTGATAAGCAGTTGTGCTGCCAACCCAAAGACATGTGGTTCAAATCCACCAACTAGTCCTTAAATCACACCAAAGAAAAGGATTATATTATCTAGGATTGAAGGTTAAACCAGGTTGCTCATTGGAGGGAAGGATTCTGAGGCTCCATCTAACATACTTTGGACATGTTGTAAAGAAGGACTGGTCCTTGGAGAGGGACAACATGCTTGGGAGGGTGGAGGGTCAGCTCAGGAGGGGAAGGCCCTCTATGAGGTGGATTGATTCAGTGACTGGGGTAATTGGGATGGGTGTGTCAGAGGCAATGTGATTGGCGCAGGATTGAGCAGGGTTTAGGGCTATTGTCCATAGTTATGAGTCGCAAGTGACTCGACAGCACATAACAACAACAACAGGATTGTGTTAAGGAACAAGAATTAGACTAAACTACTAAGTATCATACCCTAGCCAAGCCAACACTTAAAACAACCATATTATTAAAATGGATGACACTGGAGGACATTAAGCTGAGTGAAATTTCTCAGTCACAAGAGGACAAATACTGCATAATGTCACTGTTGCAAAATGGGACTGACATAGGAGTTGGGGGTGGGTTTGAGAAAGATGGAATAAATTATGTATACGGCATTGAAACAGATGAGAGAGAA